GTTGCTTGTTCTTGTAATTGTATTTGTTCTTGTTGTTGTTGTTGTTGTTGTTGTGTTGATATTATTATTGTTGTTGTTGTGGTTGTTGCGGTTATTTGTTGTTTGTTGTTTGTTTCTTGTTGTTTGTTTGTTTGTTGTTTGATGCTTGTTGCTTGTTTGTTTGTTTTTTGTTGATTGTTCATTGTTTGTGGTTTGTTGTTTGTTGTTTGTTGATTGTTTGTTGGGTTGTTGTTTGTTGTGTGTTTGTTGTTTGTTGTTTGTTTGTTGTTTGTTGTTTCTTGTTTGTTGATTTGTTGATTGATGATTGTTGATTGGTGTTTGTTGATCGTTGAATTTTGATTGTTGATCGTTGTTTGTTATTTTTGTGGTTGCTTTTTGTTGTTTGTTGATTGTTGTTTGTTGATTGTTGTTTGTGATTGTTGTTTGTTGTTTGCTGTTTGTTGTATGTTGATTGTTGATTGTTTGTTGTGTGTTTGTTTGTTGTTTGTTGTTTGTTGTGTGTTGTTTGTGTGTTTGCTTGTTTGTTGTTTGTTGCTTGTTGTTGTTGTTGTTGGTGGTTTGTTGTTGTTTGTTGTTTGTTGTTCGTTGGTTGTTGGTTGTTGTTTGTTGTGTGTTGTTTGTTGTTTGTTGTGTGTTGTGTGTTGTGTGTTGTTTGTTGTTTATTGTTTGTTGTTTGTTGTGTGTTGTTTGTTTGTTGTTTGTTGCTTGTTGTTTGTTTGTTTGTTCTTTGGTGTATGCTGTTTGTTGTTTGTTGTTTGTTGTGTGTTGTTTGTTTTTTGTTTGTTGATTGTTGTTTGTTGTTTGTTGTTTGTTGATTGTTGATTGTTGGTTGTTGTTTGTTGTTTGTTGATTGTCGATTGTTGATCGTTGATTGTTGTTTGTTGTTTGTTGTTTGTTGATTGTTGATTTGTGTTTGTTGTTTGTTGATTGTTGCTTGTTGCTTGTTGTTCGTTGTTTGTTGCTTTTTGCTTGTTGCTTGTTGCTTGTTGTTTTTGTTGTTGTTGTTCTTGTTGTTGTTGTTGTTGTTGTTGTTGTTGTTGTTGTTGTTGTTGTTGTTGTTGGTTGTTGGTTGTTGGTTGTTGGTTGTTGGTTGTTGGTTGTTTGTTGTTTGTTGTTTGTTCTTGTTATTGTTATTGTTCTTGTTCTTGTTATTGTTAGTGTTATTGTTGTTGTTCTTGTTCTTGTTCTTGTTGTTGTTGTTGTGGTTGTTTGTGTTGTGGTTGTTCTTGTTGTTGCTGTTGTTGTCGTTGTTGTTGTTGTTGTTGTTGTTGTCGTTGTTGTTGTTGTTGTTGTTGTCGTTGTTATTGTTGTTGTCGTTGTTATTGTTGTTCTTGTTGTCGTGGTTGTTGTTGTTGTGGTCGCTGTTGTTGTTGTTGATGTTGTTGTTGTTGTTGTTGCTGTTCGTTGCTGTTCGTTGTTTGTTGTTTGTTGTTGGTTGTTGGTTGTTTTTTTTTGTTGTTTGCTGTTTGGTGTGTGTTGTTTGGTGTATTGTGTATGTTGTTTGTTGTTTGTTGATTGTTGATTGGTGTTTGTTCATCGTTGATCGTTGATTGTTGATTGTTGATTGTTGATTGTTGTTTGTTGTTTGTGGTTTGTTGTGTGTTGTGTTGTGTTGCTGTTGTTGTGTGTTGTTTGTTGTTTGTTGTTTGTTGCTTGTTGCTTGTTGCTTGTTGTTGTTGTTGTTGTTGTTGTTGTTGTTGTCGAGGTTGTTGTTGTTGTTGTTGTTGTTGTTGTTGTTGTTGTTGTTGTTGTTGTTGTTGTTGTTGTTGTTGTTGTTTGTTTGTTGTTGTTGTTGGTGTTGGTGTTGGTGTTGTTGTTGTTGTTGTTGTTGTTGTTGTTGTTGTTGTTTTTTGTGTTTGTGTTTGTGTTTGTGTTTGTGTTTGTTTTGTTTGTTTGTTGTTGTTGTTGTTGTTGTTGTTTGTTTGTTGTTGTTGCTGTTGTTGTTGTTGTTGTGCTTGTTGCTGTTGTTGCAGTTGTCTGTTGTTTGTTGTTTGTGTTGTTGTTGTTGTTGTTGTTGTTGTTGTTGTTGTTGTTGTTGTTGTTGTTGTTGTTGTCGTTGTCGTTGTCGTTGTCGTTGTCGTTGTCGTTGTCGTTGTCGTTGTCGTTGTCGTTTCAACACGTTTTGTGTTGCATTTTTCTGTTCCTTGGTTTGGCGTCTATATGGATGTTCCTGTTTATGTCCCGTCTTTTTGTTTGCGTGTCTTTTTTTCTGTGTGTGGTTTCTTTCTTTCCTTGTTTCTGCGTTTTCTTCTTGTCCTTTTATTGTTTCTGTCTTTCTCGCGTTCTCTCTTTCTCTTTCTCTGTTTGTTTTTTCTTGCGCCCTCTATTCACCCACTAGCTTGACAAATCCTTGGTCGACATCATAGCGAAGCTTGGTAGAGCAGTTGCCACAAAGATTCGGGTGATTCAGGATCCTGGCAAATGGGGAGGTTACCCCTCTCAATGTGTCCTACTTCAAGCCTCAGCTGAGCCACAATCAAAACCCGGGTACATGAAGGTTAGCAAGGGACAATCCCAACCATAAATAGCTACGGCCGCCTTCTTCATTCTTTACATGGTTCTGGGTCGACCATTTTAATACCGGGTTTTGCTTGTCACTCAGCTGGAGTGCCCTGTTTTATTTTCGTTTCGATCAGGGTGGCTTCAAGGGCGACAGCAAGGCCGGACGCCTTGGTCGCGTCCAAGGGGACCCTCGCTGAATTCCCAGAAGTCCACTGGGTAGCAAGTGGCATTTTTTTTCGGTTGGAACCTCCAACTGGCTGGACGCCATGAATCCCCAGCTAAATGATGTCCACCTGAGAATCCCCGATGAAAGTTGATACCCACGTCACCCACCATTAATTTCTTTCCGGGGTGCCTAAAGCATTCAAACCAGGAAACATCGGGGTAACTTCCCTTGCAAGGACACCTTCTTTTTCAGGTAAAGAAGCGCTGGGTCTTGGCAGGAAATTAAGCCAATGGTTTTCACTCGAGTGTTTAAACTACATCCACGGATGGCGTATTTGAAAGCTGATGGTTGAGAGAACTCCAGTTGAGTCAGAGCGGATGTTTTGTTTTCTGGCCAGGGTGGCTTCAAAGGCGACGGCAAGGCAGGGCTGGAGTGTTTGCCGGTTGCTTTGAAAGGGAGCCCATCGGAAACGGAAGCTTTGGTCTTGAATGGTCTGCCTCCAAATACCTGCTGGCTATGATGTCAACCCCTGACTGAAGAAGGAGCTACCATATGAAGACTTCATTTTTTTCGGCATATGTGGAATATACCCGAACAAACGCGTGTTTGGAATAGAGAGCGGTGTTTTTGTTCGGGCTCGGGAGCCGGGATTCTACAAAACAGTCAACAACAGGGTATGGGCCGGTATGGGGGTGTCGTGCTTTCGGGGACCGCTATTTTCCTTGTGGTTTCCTTTGAAACCGCCAACCATGGGTACCCTGAAGAAAAGACCCATATGGCTGTGGCTCAAAAAACCGGTATCAAAATGGAACCCTGGTAAATGGAACCAAAGACTAAAACCCGCGTAACCCCCCCTGTTTAATTTTGAGCCACACCCATATGGGTATATGGGTGTGTTTCTTCAGGTACCCTTTTGGTGGTTGCTTTTAATCCAAAAGGAATATTAGCCACCTTTTTTAGGGGTGTTGTCCATGTTGAGGCAAACCATATATGTTTTGACAGGTGGCTCTCTAGGAGCATTGGGCGTTCATTTTTCTCGGGGGGATGCCCCGTTCCGCATCACTTTTCAGGGTTTCCATTTACCAGGGGTTCCATTTCGGGAAGCTATTCTTGACCCCACCCGAGCAACGGACACTCGCGAATTGTCCCGTGTTTTTTCGGAGGCAAGACGCACCCTGCAGAACTGGGGAGCATGCAGTCAGAAGTTCGTCCAAGCTTCTGTTTTTTTGTTTTGTTTTTTTCTTGGGGGCAGAGTTGAGGGAATTGTTTGGCGTACATTGCATGAGCACTGGATTGAGTTTTGAAGTCCCCCACCCTCTACATTATGCGGGCCCTCAAATAGTTGCAGCGGCTTAGCCACCAGCCTTGCCAGTGTACACAGGAAATGGGGGGAGTACCTGACGATTGTTTTGCTTGATCTTGTCAAGCTCGGCGAAAAATTTGGCGAAGTTGAGAGTGTTTGACGAAGGGCGTCTTCATGTTGCAAAAGGCGAGGACAAGAACGGCATGTTTTTTGTTTTTCTCCAGTGTGCATCTCCCTGAATCTGGCGGTCCCTGAAAGATGGTAGGCGGACACCAATCCCCATGTCAATTCATAGTCACAGCAGGTCCCTAGTTGCAAAAAGAATTCACGCCCACGCGGTGCATGCCTTCCATGCACATTCCCCAGATCGGTGCCTCGGACCTTGCTAGTCAGAGAAGCAGCCCTATGAATGATTGCAAAGGTATGGAACATGCCGCAAGCAATGGCAAGCAGAAGTTCTAAACTGATTTCGGTAGAGGTTTTGTTACCTGCCAAGTTGCATGCTGCCTTCTGACAGGGATATGGAGGTGGTGGTGGAGGCGGCAGCGGTGCCTGAAGCTGCATTCGGGGCAGATTTGTTGTGAAGCCCTTCTCTTGATCCTTTGTGTGATGTGGTTCATCTTTAGAGCGGAGCTGCCAAAGCACAGGTTTTTTCCTAGTATACCCAGGTTGTTCGGATTCCTTTCCTTCGCTGCTCTTTGTATGCGTGGTCAAACGACACCTTAGCTGCGGTGGCTCAAATATGGTCAACCTTTTCATAGGATTGTGACAATAGGCTTCCTAAGGGTACCATGACTCGAAGTTGGCACGTAGTTTTTTGGTGGCTCCCAGGCATCCCCTTAGCTTTCTAGCTTGCTACTAGCAGGGTTTAGTGGGGGTTTCCATGTACCCCAGTAAAAGTAGGTCACTCAGCAGGGGATCCGAAAACGGACAGCCCAGGTTTCAAAGCTCCCAGGCCTCCTGCAGTGTTCCTCCCGTTGTGAGTGGTTTCCCTTTGAAAGCAAGGTAATGAGTCCACGCTTTGTCGCAGGGAAATCCGGTGGGGGGGAGGGGGACGGGTAACATACTTGGGGAAGAGGTGACAGTTCCTTGAGTTCCGAATCTTCCTCAAGGACGTACATGGATTCGGAGTCGCTAAATCAGCGGCTTAAAAAATACAAATAAAACAACAACAAAAAACGTGTGACGTGGCGCGAATGTATCGTTCAAGCCCAGCTTCCATGGCTTCCAACTTGAGCCATGGTCGTTTTCCCCCAGAAAGCTTAGCGCGAAGGCATGGAAAGGTTGGGGCGGTCGATCCTGGATCCTGGGACGAATGGACGTTGCTTGAGCACCGAGGCCTCGCCGGGCAGCCCGTCCAACAAACCGGCACGGTGAAGGCCGGACGGCGGGCGGTCTCCCACGAAGTTTGTTCCTTGGTTCGATAGGCAGGCGGACCCGGAAATGGGGGCCCAGATGTCTTCATATGGGAGCGTTCCCCTCAAGTGATGAGTCCCCACTTAGGGACAACTCCCCATGAATAAACAGGTTGATGGGGTCAACATCTATTGGTGGCGGTGAGTTGGTGGTTTGGATTGGATTTGAACCCCTGGTTCTTGTATTAACCACCAAACCACCAATCCAAACCAGACCCCGAGAAAGACTGTCCCCGATTTGTGTTTTTTTGGGAAGCCGCGTTCAGGTTCATTCCCAAACCCCGGACTCGGTCATTCCCTACGCACCAGCAAGTTTTCCGAGCTGAAAGGTGTGGAAGTGTTTTGGGGCAGCTTTCGAGGGTTCAGTGGCTGTTGCGGATATTGGCGGATGCCAACTGAGCCTGTGGTTTTGTTCAGGGTACCCTTTTGGGGTGGTTTCAACAAGAAACAAAAAGGACAACTAGAACCTTGGGCTTCCCCTCGCTGAGGCTCAGTCCGCCGTCCCATTAACTTCCCCTTCATATCCCCTCTTGTTCCATTTATGTCCCTTCATGTCCCCTTCATGTCACCTTCATTTCCCTTCTTGGGCATTTCATGTCCCTTTCCTGGAGATTCATTCTCCGGCCTTTTTCTAGGCGGTGTGGTATTCTGGCAGTTTTGGGCGTGTTGGGCGTTTGATTTCTGGCCCTCAAAAAGAAAGAAAGAAAGAAACATATTCCGGTTTGCGGGCGTTTGCAGCTTTTTGCGGGCGTTTTGTGGGTACTTCTGCGCGGGGAAAACAGAGTTTTGGTAGTTTTAGGTTTTAGGCGACTGGACGAAAACCGCATCGAGATTGAGGAGAAGCAAGTTAAAGAGGAGAACTACCAGGAATTCATGGAGAATGAATATCCAGGTTCATTTCCTCTCATTTCCCCCTTAAATTATCTGCGTTTTGCAATCATTCTCTTCATGCCACATTCATGTCCCTTTCATGTCCTCTTCATGTCCCCTTCATGTCCCTTTCATTTCCCTCTCATGTCCCATTCATTTTTCCTTCATCTCCCCTTCGTTTCGCTCTCGTTTGCCATTAATGTCCCTTCATTTCCCCTGCATCGCCCCTGCATTTCCCCTTGCATCAGACTTACATGCGACGGGGACGTCAGTCATTCAGGTCTGGTTTGAATTGGTTTGGCCTAACCTCCAAACCACTGGGCTCCAAACAACTAGGGGGAAGTCATTGCGACACTTTCCTTCATGTTCCGTCTAACCCCCTGTAGACTAACATTTAACCAAACAAAGCAACATAGAAAGCTGCTTTTGGGTTCACCCTAGGAGGCGGTTCGACGACAACCATTCATGTACTGTACCCCTCAATTGGTTTGGGGCCCGGTGGTTTGGTTTGGTTAGGCAGTGGTTTCCCATTTACCCCACAACAAGAACTAGGGTTCAAATCCCCAAACCACAAAAATGCTCCACCAATGCTCCACCAATTTGAAGGAAACTGAATTGTTTACCTAGCGTGCAGCCAAATTGGGTTCTTGCCATTATGTTAACGGGGGTGGATAATTGGGCACATGTTCCTTTCCTTCTTGGGCTCGTGTCCGGAGTCCGAAGTCATCCTTCAAAAGTGCTAGCTCTCCCTGACCCTCAGACCAAACCCGCAAGAAGACATATGACAGTTAAGTCTCATTTGGAGCTTATTTACACGAATACATTCCCCTGATTTCGGTCTTATTCTTACGGGGTAGGCATTTGTCCGGCAGGTCTGGTTCGAGGAGAAGGGCTTCGGATTTTTGACCCCAGATGGTGGCGGGGACGACTGCTACGTCCACAGGACCCAGGGAACCGACTGCTGCGTAACAGGAACCGATGGAAGCGGAGGCCATGTTTGAACCGTTTTCCATGGAGCCCCAACTTGCGCTACCCAGAGGCTCCCCGATTTATTTGGGGCCCTCAAATACCCAGATTTTGAGACCCCAACCGCCTCCGGGGTGTCCAATGGTTCCATTGAAAGCTCCAGGAGCCTCTGGGTAGTCAAAGAGAAACACATTTGGCGGGTTAAACCTTGTTCATTTAAGAGGAACACAATGTTGCCGGGGTCTCCTCCCAACTGATTTCATAATATGTCAGAGTAGACTAAATATGAAACCGAATCAGACGGACTGTAGTCTTTTGTCCCCACGTTTGGGCCAAAGCATGCATCTATAGACTCACTTCCCGGGTTTCTGGACTTTCTCCTTTTTGAGGTTCAGACAATGTTGGCTGACAAAACGTTTGATTGGCTTGTATATCGCCAGGCGTAGCTTGCCATTTCAACTTATTGCTTGGCAACCAGCAAGTGAAGTCTGGCCCAGCATACATGGGTGTCTCGTCTTGTTTTGGAGTTGCCCGGTTTTGCCGGTTTCCAATGGAAACCAAATGGAAAACCGGATCCCATTTGGGTGGGTGGGGGGGGGGGGGGTCCGATTCAAAAAAACAACAACGAGACTCCCGTATGAGTGTGTCTCAAAATCGGGGTACCACCCAAACAGGCTACGGCTTTCCAGTGGTTTCCTTTTAAACCAGCCCCAAAGCGGACACCCTCCAAAACCACCCGTCTTCGTTTCAGCGGCGTCAGGACAGCGCTGACTGATGGCCAGGCTTTGGTGCCCAACACCCAGGTGAGCTACACTGCCCCTTATACGAATTTCATGGGAAGCGCAGGGCCTGATGGATGTGGCTGTGTCTTGTTTTCAGGGAACCCCCCCGCCAAAACTGATGGCAACTGTCCGATTGTGTGGTTTCCCTTTATCGCAACAAAAAAAGAGGGTACCCTCAAAAAGAGACACACATGCATTTGTGCTTCTCTCTTTTTTTGGCGAACACTGACAAGGTGTCAGCGCGATTTGACCGAGAGCGCGAGACCCTTTCAACATGACATGTCGAAATCCGCGAAAACTGGTCTTTCAAGTGGCCATTAGTTGGTGGCTTGCACAGGTGGTTTCCGAATTTCGGGACCCACCAGAGGTGACATGGGAAACCACCGGAAACCCTCCAAGCCGCCGGGCTACGGGAAGCTGACTTTTTGAGGTGGTTCCTTTCGGGGAGACCGAAAGGAAACCACTTGGGTCCGAACCCCTTGGAGAAACACACCCATACTTTGGGGTCGAATTTGTGGTTTGGGGCCCGGTTTGGAGGTGTGCCAGGTTGGTTTCCCATTTGCCCAGGTTCAACTTCCCAAACCAACTAAGGGTTACTAAAACGAGGGCAATATCCTGGGAAACAGACTCCAAATAGTTGCTGTGTTTCAAGAAGTCATATCTGCGGTCCAAAAGCTCCCGTGAAATTTTGGGGTTGGTAGAGATTGTTGAGACAGGTTTCAGACAGCGTTTGTGTGAGGTTCAGTCAAACTTACCAGTGTCCAGGTTCATTCAGGGACAAGGAATGGGAGAAATGCATCCAACAGGGGACCAGCTCTAATGTTCCCGTGTCCCTCTGCGGACACATTCATTTGACCATTGCTCATTTTGGTCCCCCAGTAGTGCCCCTTTACCCTTTTTTGGGGGCCCCTACCAAAATAGACTACAGAAAAAAAGTACCGTTATTCTAAACTCTCTTTGAGTCTAGTGATATACTGGAAGAGCCATTGGTGACAAGAGACTTTATTGCGGGCCGGCCAACACTTCCCCATTCGCCTGGCTTTGGATCATGGGAGGCGGGACCTGCGATAGATTCCTGCCTATGTTGCGAGCGATCAAACTTTGTGGATCAAAAGAAACGTAGGTCGTTGACGTGATCCTGTATTTCCCGTAATGTTTTACTTTAGGTCAACTTTAGGTTCCCTCAATTATTGGCTCAATTGGTGGTCGGGATTGGTGGTTTGGGGATTTGAATCCCTGGTTCTTATAAAGTGTAAACCCCCGAACCACCACGCCCGAAACCACCAAACGGGGGGAAGCTGACTGATCCAGCATTTCCTGCAATGATTTGCCCTGAGCTCCGACGATTGCCTTTGTTCCCATGGTGAGACGTGGGATGAGTTCCATTTTCCCAAGGCCCCCCCACCTTCCGGACGTCGTGGGCGACGCGACAACATGCTGACTGACAAAATCCACCAGTTGGTCCTTGAAAGGGTAACATGTTTGAGCAGTGGCTTGAACTTGTTTTCTAGCGGTGACCCCTGGCAGCCCCTGGCAAATGACCCGGCAGCTCAATTATGTGTTTTTTTGCTTTGGGTTTTAATCCTTTCTTTCCGTGGAAGGGGTCCCCTCCGTAGTATTGTGAAATTAAATCGGATTGGCCAGCCATTCATTGAGATAAGCCCAGGTAGATAAGGGTACATGGGATACACACAAGGTACAACGTTGATTGGACTACTGGCTAGAATCAATCGAACAGAAGTCTTTCTATGAGGGAAGACACCGCTGTTGCTTCAGGCTCAGTGGAACACCACCAAGAACAAGTTCACTGCCTGGCGCTCAGTTTGCTAGTGGCTACAGAATTGGCAAAAGACAGAGGGTTGATCAACACAGGCTTGTTCCTGAAGTAGCTGTGAGTACTACAACTGCGCTGAGTTGTTGTGCTAGAGACTTTGCCTAACCAGCTCGGGCTTTCCACCATGGAAGCACAGCCGTTGCTTGCAAATACTTGTGAGTAAGTTGTGGCGACCTTTCAAAGGGATTTGTTTGGATTTGTGTTGCGACCTATGGCCCCCTGAGCCAGCAGCCCGCAGGTATTTGGAAGGGCTCGTCTTTGACCTCCTTGCTTTGGTAAACATTGTCTTAAGGGGCAAGAACGGCTCAAGAGGCCAACCCTGAGATTGAGGGGGCTGACCTTTTTTTTGGGGTCTTTATCGACCCAAACGTCCCAAGCGAGAGCAAACACCTACTTTGGAGAATTCAACATTGCCTGCAAGCTGAGTACTTTCTGACACTTCCAATGACCTCCAGCAAACCGTAAACTTGTTGCAGAGGGTCGAAGACCAACCCAGGGTATGTCAGAGTTGGGGAGCCCTTACCTTGTTGGGCCATTTGAGCATTGCGCGACACCCATTGCTTTTAGCTATGCTAAGACGGCTATGAATTTTAGTAGGGAACCCCTCAAAAGTGGTCGGTGGACTCAAAGGGTCCCTTATCAAGATTCATATCCAAATGGTTATGAAGGATTCTATAGGCCTGGCTACACCAACGGGTTTTGGTTACTTCCAAAAGAAGGGCAACATGAAGCCGTCAAACACCGCCGCTTGCACCCCAGATGTTCCGTGCCACGTTGGCGGTGAAGGGTTTGCTTTGACCCTCCGCCCGTGTTTTTTTGGGACGGGGGAATCTGGGAATGAGTGTTTCCCCACCAAGAGATTCATGCTGGACTCATTGATGTGTGGCCGCAACATAACTGATGCACTGACATGTGGTTGGCGGCAACATGTGATGGAGCTCCAGCTCCGCATATCACTGTGGGGCTGAGTTCCATATGCATCAACAGACATCATGGCGAAGTGGCGATCCAACCCGGATATGGGAGCACATCAGCCCCTGAAAGGAATGCAAGATGTAGATATCCGGCATATGTCATATGAGTTAGTACCACCTGCTGTGTTGTCATTGCATTGTTGGTGGGCTGCAAACAGCTGATATCAGTGGCCGCAGGACTGTTGCTCACGTGTAGTAATGTTGCCGACAACCCCACATTCCGACTTTCCCTTAAGCCCACTTGGGCGACTTCAACGTGAACATCCTTACGGCTTACGGGTTGGAAATCGAACGTACAAACAGAACAATATGTCCGTTGGCCGATTTCCGGATCACGTCAAGACTGCTCCCTTTCGCCATAGGGCATGTCCTTTGTTGAGAGTGCCCTGTTGGGAGTTGGTTTGCAGGGAACCCAAGAGAAGGCAAACCATTTAGGGTCCAGCATATTTTAAGATAGCCTAAATGTGTGTCTCCGGGTGTGTTGTATGAGGGAACATCCAAATGGTGGTCTTTCTTTTGGGCTCCCCCCATGAAATCCGGTACCCTAACAGTCCCATTTGGCCAATCGCCTTGGCCAGGCCACTAGCGCCTCTTGGCCAAAGGAGGGCAACGTGACGAATTGGAAGTCCCCAATGGGTTGACGAATTGGACCCCCAAGGGGACCCGTTCCCCTGGGCTTCCCTTTGGCATCCAAAAACGGGTTTCCTCAAAGGATAAGACCCGCTAGGACTTGATTGCGGTGGGAATTGATGTACCACCTTCAAGGGCTTCGTTGGAATTCATAGCCAGGTTTTTGGCTACCGGGTTGCCGGCCTGAAGGACATTCGGCTAAAAAAATCTGGGCTCCACTCCAGACTGACATGGAACCCAAAGAACGGTTCCGCAACAAGAAAACTGCTTTGCAGCTGGAAGACTCAAAGCCAGAAGCGCCAATGCAGCCCAGTGACTCATAGAGACTGATGGTATCTAGTAACCTCACTCCCCGAGTTCTTGGACTTCAGTCACCTTTTTGGGGCTGGACCATTCTAGTGCTAAATAGACAGTTCGGACATTTGTTGGGCAATCTACTCAGGAAGTGAGTAACGATTAGAGGGTGCCTACTAAGTTAAGGGCCTTTCAAGGCCATGAGCTTCGCATGGTTCCCCTTGTGGCTTTGAATCGATTTCCGTTCCATGTGGATGAACAGGAGGCTAGTCTATTGATAATTTTGACATACGGGTGTGTTTCAAAATAGGGGACCCCTTTTTGGGATGTGTTTAAAGGAACCAAGAGGACATTACCTACCTAGAGGGGTCCGCACTTTTTACAAACTTGCATATGCTGACACAGGATTCATGAAAACCAAGTGGATTCAAAGAACGATGTCCAAGCCAGCTGCCTGTCATCGATTGCGATCCCAAGGTTGGCATTAGCGGCTTGTTTCCGTTAAAGAAGCCACCCCCGAAGTTGAGCAACACTTCTACACTTGGTTTCAACTGTGAAGCCAACAGTGTGCTTGCTCCGCAATATTTAGGATTGCCAAAGCTTGTGCCAGCTGACTAAAAAACATGACTCTAACATGACAGTTTCGTTGGATGAGTGCCTCGCTCATATGCCATGTTCAGAAGACCTGCTTCCTCGGGGGTGCGAAGGTTGGTCATGGATCCTGCAACTGGCGGGTTAGGCAACCTGCATGAGGATTCCTATTCACATGTCACCAACGGTTCCCTTTGTGGGTCTGAAGGTTTATTGGGGTCGTTTGGTGGACCTTATCTACGTGGTGTTCTATGTCATTACGTCCGCCAACCATCTTGGAGGGTGTTCCCCAGCAAAAACAAAATATAGCCATGTTTCTGAAACATGGAGAGGGGTCCTTTTCGGGTTCTGAATACTCAGCTTTCGGACGTATTTTTGTTTGTTGCGCTTCTAATGGAAGCTGACGCTAGGAGATTCGAGGCGCGCAAGCGCGCCCACGTTGCGAAAAAGACTACACGGCCCATTGCTTTTAGTATCGCATCTCAACTGGCCGACTCACGGTCGCAGGTGTCTGACCTTCGATCACCCTGTTTCCACTGGCATAAACCCAGATCTGTGCTTATTCACGTAGCTGACAGCTGGTGGGTCCATAGGAGAGAGGCTCCCGAGGTTGGAGCGGCTGTGTGCTACGGTTCTAGAAGGGTTCCGGGGGTTTGCTGGGGATGCCAGCTGGTATACCAGGGCCAAACGGTGCCCTTTTTTACCCATGGCCATCGAAGGTTTCGGGTTAAGCTTTCCGTGGCGGACCACACCCTCTCCATGTAAATCGCGCTCACCATGAAGGTTCTTTAGGTTTTCTCAGATCACGTGGTCAACCCCTTAATAATAATGCCGTCCCATGAAGGGGGTGGGTGGGTGGGTGTCACCTTTAAAAGTCAAGGATTCCCAGCAAAAGGGCATCAACAAGGGTTTTTATTGAATACGGGGTGTCCATTAGGGAATTTTGCCCACCGTAAGGCTCCCTGACCATTTCCATGACCCACAAGTGTTAGGAGCTTTCACCTGGCCGATGGAAGCGGATAAGATGGTTTCCATCCCGGAACTGACCCGTGAGACCCTGGAGATTGTTGCTTGGGTAGTGGACACCGTCCTAGATCATTGCAACCAACGAACACGTAGAACCTGGACATCAGTCAAATCCAAACAAGAAGCATGAATGAAACAGACCAAGCCAAAACCATAGCAGATAGAGGTGCCGGAAAGCCCAACACTGGACATTGTCCCACACCATGTGTCTGTGACATTGGGCTTTATTTTTGAAATGTCAGCTAAAATTGGGTACACTGTGTTTGGAAGAAGAAGGATACCAACCATGTTGGTCCAATTTGGATGTGCCTAATTTTTCCGTCTACCCTGCACCCTTTTGGGGGACCGTTGTCCTGTTTTTGAGTGTACCCTTGCAGTGGTATTAAGCCGAAGCCCCTGATGCGCCCAAAACCGTAAGGTCCTTTCGATCATCAGTTCAGGAATGAGAAGGGAATGTTCCCAACCCACAACCATTCCGAGTCGCACGGGCCCCATTGAGCAGGGCACCCCAATAAAATGGTTTGGTTTGCAGGGAAACCAAAGGGAAACCGCCAATTTTCTGGGATCCCCGATTTTGAGACCAACCCACCCGCTGCGGATTCAGAACCCCGGATGTTGCGAGGTTTCTGGAGCTTCCGGCAACAAGGGCGGGGGCAAGGGCGATTGGGGAGGCGGATCCGGACATCGGGGGGTCGGGATCGCGGGGGTCGAAGACCGGAAGGGCTTTGGGGCTTTTTGTTCAAGGGAGACCAGAAGAACCACTGCCCCCTTTGGTCCGAATCACTTTGGGCTGTGGCTTCGTTGGCCCGGTTTTGTGGTTGGCCCAGTGTTCCATAGCATTCCCAGGGCATCCCAGGGCCAATCCCGCCAATCCACAGCACCAAGGGGCGCCTTCTTCAACCGAGCCATACTGAGAGCCCGGGCAATTAGAGGGGACAATTCCAGCCATAAATGGGCGCGGCCGCCTTTCCAATTCTTTACATGGTGTTGGGTTCACCATGGCCGCGAGAAAAAGTAAGACGCCGGAGTTGAAGCTTCGGGGTGGCTTACAAAACAAGACGGTGGATTCTTGTTGAAGGTCCCACCAGTTGAGTCACGTCAAAATTTCGGGGTAACTGGAGGGTGGGGGTCAGTCCGGGCCCTCTTCATTCTTTACATGTTTTGGCTTGGCCATTTTTACGTATCTTAAGATTAAGACCCACAGCATCTCAATATGCATTGTGGATGATTCGATATTATTGTTTCCTTAAACACTAAACACCCGAACTCAACAGCGTGGACCAGAGGCGGCTAGGTGTAAAATCACTTTCTAAATGCGGCCACCAGTTTTGCAAGTCTAGCTCTAGCAGTATTTGCTCTACAGAAATTGTTGGTGCTCAAAAGAGCAAGGTTCCTTCAACTGGTGAATCAATTCGGCCCCATCAAGCGAATGCTTGCGACAGGCTGCAACAGAAACACATGCCACAGGTGTGTGGAATTCGAAAAGGACCAAGCAGAAGCAGTCGCATGAGTGTGTCTTTCTTTAAGGGGACCCCCCAACTCATGGATGACTTTTTTGGTTTGTCTTTAAGCCAACCCTAAAACGGGTTCCCCAAAAAACGACGAGCCACCGACCTAGCTACTGAAGGACGCCATGGCCAGAAGTGTTCAAACGCCACCTCAAGAACGATCGAGTTGGCGATGTCAGTTAGGCACAAGAAGCGCAAGAAGGGGTCTCCTGGTAGAACTTAGAACGGTTAAAGTCAAGGCTTTTGGGCACACGACGGAATCGCCAACCACAAACTCAAATGAGTCGCTTCGGTTTTGCGTCCCTTCAAGAAGTTGACACGGACAGGGTAGCATCAATCAAAGACACCTAGTTGACTGGTCTGTGATCTAATTAGAGTGAAAGCCGTGCTGCATCCTGTGCTTGAATTTGTTTCTGCAACTAGAACTCCAGGGTGAGCAGATCTGTGGGCAATATGTTGGTACCCCTAAGAGGGGGCCCTAAAATAGGGATGGAGCCCACGGATGGCTTTCCCTGTTTTCAGGTTCAGCGCTTTGCAGGACCGGTTCGTCTTATGCGGACACTCCATTTGCAATTCAGCTTCGCAAACCGAGTCCCAGGGCCAAACATGAGGTGGTTCTACTGAGTTACTGCCTGGCTCAATGAAGATTTTGAAGGCCCAGACCTCCACTCTTGCTGGGCCTTTGGACTTCTACGCATTTTGGTTTTCCACTGAGGGGATTCTAGTGCTAACCCTCGCCCCCTCGCCCCCTCGCCCCCTCGGAAGGTCAGACCTCAGACTAAACGGGTTCCGGAAAAGAAGGTGGTCTGTGGGAGATGGTAGTTGTAGGTGGCCGCTCTGTGGGATTGAGGACTCAGACGGAAATTAAGCAAAGCTTTAACCATTTGTGTTGTTGAGCAGGAAAAGGATTCAGCCGAACGCGTCGTATTGGGGTGGTCATGGAGGCCCGCGTCAGAGTTTAGTATTGTGTAGTATTGGATCCCGATAACGCGCCTTCGCAATCGGTTGTATTTATTAATCCAATGATTCCAGCAGCAGTTTGACTAGAATTCCATCATGGCTTCTGTGGTGCAGCCACAAACACAGTCGAACACTAGTTAAGTTCAACCACTGAGATCGGTTTGCAAGGTCCTTGAGGTGTGCTTTGTTAGCTGCCACTTCCGCCATGCCGCCATGTATCGTGGTACACCCTCCAGGGCAGCCCGGCCAGCAAACTGCAAGAAGATAGTGCGTTGCAGATATAAAGTTTAAACCTTATTGGACTGAACATCTCCGAACGTGTAGGTTCGGCTATGCCCTTGTGCAAATTCAGAAGGCACCAGCATCACCCTGGTGCAATGGAAAGCTTGGTTAAGACCGATTTTACCAAGGGGATCCAAGCGTCAAGTCATGGGCTTGGCAACTACTTTTACGGGGATTTCAATCACCACTCCCCGGCGTTGCGTGAGTTGTGGGCTCGTTTAGGATTGGTTTTGGAGAGTTGCCCCAAACCACCAATACTCGCCCACAACTCACGCAACAACACTCCGAAAGCAACCCTACAGGCACCGTTTTTCCAGCAGCACACCCAACACAAATCAGCTCCAAGCCAAGCCCAAGTCCATCCAAAGTCAACCCTACGCCAAGCAGCAGCCTGGATGTCAGACCTGAATAAACCCCAAACCACCACTAGACCCACGTTAATAAAGACCTTAACTTGAACCAGCCCCCAGCAACTCCCAACTGCCTCCCAATCAGAGCCACTAGGCAACCCCCGGGCCAAGAGAGGCTGGTGATGCCGGGGATGTTGCCAGCCCTGCGGAAAAACCGGAAAAAACCTAGGAGAAACAAAAACACCTCTACCAGGGCTTCCCTTGAAAACCCCTAACCCCCCTGCTCCGGTCGCCACGAGTTTTGCTGGTGCGACGAGAGGCGGCTGCGGCGGCGGCGGCGGCTGCGGCGGCGGCTTCGACTATGGGAAGATGCAGGATCCTGGTGGCAACTACCGCCAGAAGCTCAGAAATCAGACGCAGGCCTTCGGGCTGTTCTCGTGAAAGGAAAGGTGGCCCCCCGGCCGCGCCGTGAAAATCAAGCTACTCGATCAAAACAACAGACTGATCTTCAGCCAGTGCGGCAATTCCCAGCTTTTTGCTCCTTTGTTTGGTGGGACCTAAGTTGCTGGACTCGATCTCCCATTTACTAACACACATAGTTGGTTGACCCCGCTTTTTTTGCTTTAAATGTGTCACTGGATGTTTTAGGGGCGTATTCGCAAATGGAAGTTTAATGCATTTTGGGGCAGATGCGAAAACTCGGGTGCGGAGGCGCATCCCATGGCGGGGGGGTATGAACCCCAAACCCCGGAGCGAAGTAGAACCCCAGGCCCTGGTTGATGAGCGACTGATAGGGGTGGTGTCCTGGATGAGTAAACCCTGGTTGATTTTGGGGTGTCCCCTTTTTAGTGCCCGACCCCCCCCAAAGAACACAAACACAAGAATCGGACGGATTCTCGATCCGGAGTCAACATTATTCGGGTTACCAGTTGGTTTGGATTGGGGACTTGAACCCCTGTGTTTCGCAACCATCGGAACACCTCCAAATACAATGCGCGGATGTCCAGCCCTTAACATGGGTATGGGTCTGATTACCTCACTCCCTGAGTTCTTGAGCTTTAGTTGCTTGGGTTGGGACCATTCTTTGGGAGCACCTGCTTGTTGGTGATGCCCGAGTGTCTCACTTCCCACGTTGCTGGACCCTCCTTTTGAAAAGACCACTCTAGTGGCACACAAAGTTTGGGTTTGCGTTCTTCCGACACTAAACTTAGCAAAGCTCGGGTTTGTCTCTTTCCGCACCTGAAGGTTGCAAAAAGTTTTGAGGGGGGGTTCCCACTTTCGGCACAACTCTTTAAAAGGATGTGAGCTTAGCCAGCCGCGCCCTAGGCGCTGAGCCTTATGCCGCGGGGCCCTGCGGCGGCTGCGGCGGCTGCGGCGGCTACGGCGAGGGCCAATGGTGAGGCCCAGGCGCGGATCCAAGGTGCTCGCCCCATCTCCCGAGTGAGTCGGAGGTTCAAATGGCTGTGGGTCAAAAACATGTATTTGGCACCTTGGCAAATGGAACCAAGTGTATGAATGTGGGGTCAACATGAAGCCTTAGTGTGTGGTTCCGATCGGTGGTTTGGACTTGGATCTGACCCTTGTCCTTATGGCGGGTTGATGGGACCCCCCCCCCAAACCCCAATCCAAGCCACTAATTAGAGGGAAGCTGAAACAATGCATTTTGTGAGGGGTGAGGGTATTCTTTTCATTGAAGTTTCGATTTGCTTACTCCTAAGTATCTGGACATTCCAATGCCGAGCAATTCCTAGGCGTGCTGGTTCTCAAGGCGTTTTAAGCTTGTTAGGCGCGTTGTATGTGTTTGTTTCGTTTTTACGGACATTTGTCCGTGTTGCGGGAATTTACGGGTGTTTCCTTTTTTAAGACGTTTGCGGTAGTTTGCGGGCGTGTGCGTCCAACACAGGGTCAATGCCGAGAATTACTAGGAATTCCTCGACGACGGAACGACCAGGTGTGTAATTAAATGTACGGAACGTATTCTTTGGAAATGCGTGCCTCGCCACAGTCGCGCGGAAAGAAGGGTTTTGTTTGCGGGAAGCTCGCGGAAAGGTTTACGGCGTATGTTTGTTTGTGCTGAGTTTCGACAGGTAAATGACAACGGTGCCAGTGATCAAGCAGCGTGTGTTGAATGAAAGGCCTGAGGCTCGTGCTAAAAAAGGCTGGAGGGAACCCAAAAACAGAATCCCAAACGCGGATTTTCGCGGAAGCGCCGCATAGCGCGGAGGTGCCCTTTCCCACCACATGCCCACTCGTAGACCACCAACTCGTCTTCTTCTGCAGGGCAGGTCCTCAACTGGAGGAAGCTGAATCGCTTTCCATTGGCTCGCGGGCTTGCGTTGCGCTGCAACAATCCTGAAACCATATCGCTGTTTACCGTAAACACTAGGCAAAGAGAATGCTTGTCAGCGAACAACACTTGCCGGCGGCAGCAGCAGCATCAGCAACTACAACAAGAAGACGAAGAAGCCGAACAATGCCAATGCCCTGAAAAGTAAAGGCTCGAAAACCAGTCAACAAGCCGTGGTCCCGGAAGCAACATGCCTCCAACATCTGCAAACTGATGTGTCCGCGGAAGCTCGCAAAAACTGTTTTCTCACAAAACGCTTCGCGGAAGCTACCCGTGCAGGCCGCGGAAGCGCCGCGAGGTTGAATAACTTCGTACAAAAAAAAACAAAAAACACTTATCTTGATTTAAAGGGAGACTAGAAGGAAAGCCAGTATAATTTTGGTGCGTCCCCTGTGTTGATGCACACCCATTTCTGAGAAGGGGCGTGGAGCAAGACCTTCGTGTTATCCCTCAAGCGACTTACCTACACCATTACATTGTCGTGTGTTTGCGGGTTGTTTGGAGGGTACCCTTTGCGGGGTTGGGTTATTCAATTGAAAGGGACGCCCAAATGGAAACCCAGCCATTGTTTGGGTCCCTGCATTTCGACACATACCCCAGATGTACTTCCTGTTGTCGTACTGTAGTGGCTAAGCAAATGCCCGCTTTTTTCGCTCATGATCATGACTGTTTTTTTTTTCAAGTACCCCGAAGCTCCCTTCTAATGGGGAAAACACAGGGCGGACAAATGTTGGGAAGCCGGAAAACTCTGAAAAGCTAAGTGGGAAAAAAAACCAACAACTCGGAGAAGCGGGACAAACTAAAAAACCTGGGCGGTGCGCAGATTCGTGAGAAAAAGTGACGGCGCGAATCCGGGTGGGAATGGTTCGAAGGGGTAATTTGCAAATTCCACTTGTTCCAGCCCTTTTTGTTGTGCTCTTTTGGTACTCTTTCACAAATTGTTTGCGAAAACCGTACTGTTGCCCACTGAGTTGCCCCTCTGCGCAAAGACATTGCCTGGCAACATGTGGCAGCACATGGTGGGAGCCGTTGCAGCCTAACAGTGACTAGCGACTCTCAGGGGCCATGAAGGCACTATTCCTGGCCATCACCTTTTCATATCTCCCTTGTATGACTCTCTACCCATACTCGGTTGCTCCTTGCTTTGCGTGTGTGTGTGTGTGTGTGTGACTGTGCGTGCGTGCGTGTGTGCGTGCGTGCGTGCGTGCGTGCGTGCGTGGGTGGGTGGGTGGGTGGGTGGGTGCGTGTGTGCGTGTGTGCCTGCGTGTGTGTGTGTGTGTGTGTGTGTGTGTGTGTGTGTGTGTGTGTGTGTGTGTGTGTGTGTGTGTGTGTGTGTGTGTGTGTGTGTGTGTGTGTGTGTGTGTGTGTGTGTGTGTGTGTGTGTGTGTGTGTGTGTGTGTGTGTCTGTGTGTGTGTGTCGTGTCTTTCAACGCCCAGGAGTTGGTCGTTGACGCAATCCCTCCTGAGCAGTTGTGCAGTCGCTTGCGTGCCGCCAGACGAATTTCAGCCAATGTTGTTGGCCAGTGCTTGCAGCCACATGCCTTGCTCAGCTGGTTGTATGGACCACGTATGAAACCACAGAAATCCATGTCAGGTTCCTTGAGTGGCTGGTTTGCATATGTAGCATGCTTTTTGATTGAGTAACCAAGGAACCTGGAGGTTCGTAGCACGTGCACGACTAAGCCCTTGAAGGTCCATGCGGAGTTGCACGCGCCTGCGCAGAGAATCGTCTCATGTCAGATCTTGGTATCACCTTGCCGCAACACAGAAAATGGTTGAGGCATTGAGACGCGATGGGTCCTGCAGTTGCTGGGCATGGCAGAACAACTTGCGGGTTTCTGGACTTTGTGCTGATTCGATGGAAGCCAATAGTGGGAAACATGCTGTTGGCACGAGTAGATGGAAGCATTCCCCCATATTTGAAATAGTCATTCCCACCCACAGATGGAAATTGTGTAACTTCACGCTGGAAAAGTTTGGATATTGCTTGAGTGACTTGACGCTGGACCCTTGCCGACTTGCAGTGAACAGTCGACTTTACAATTCTCTATTTTTTTTTATCCTCATTCAGCCATTTCGGAATCGAACATGAGATGTACTTGCCGAGTCGCCTAAGCTTTAGACACTTCTTGAGTCGGCAGATGTTTCATCACTTTTAAAGTTTAGTGCAGGGCCAGCAGTGTTGCTTTTTCTGTCTAATCAACTCAATCAGAAGCCGGCGTCCTTTGCTTGGCGCTGTTTTTTTTTTTTTTTTTATTCAAGCGACAACGTGAGGTCCTGTATTTGCGTTCCGTTATTTAAGTTTCTGGACATCAATGTAGAATTGGCGAATCAGGGGCTGTCATACACGACAACCGGCCCGGCCGACATCACAACTGTGGACGTTATGCCCATCGTGTCACCTCAGAAAACGCCTGCCGGACAGGGAGCGTGCGCGGGATGCGCGCGCGGATGTGCGCGTCGGATGCGTGCATCAATGGCCCAGCCGAAACGGAAGCTGCTGTTGGCTGCTTTTGGGGGGAAGGCGACAACCTAGGCATTGGAGAAATTCACCCCTAGTTAGTCATGTGCGCAATCCGGTTTGCAGATGACGCGGAGCACCAAGACTCCCCCAACTTCACTGATGTGCGCTGATTAAGCAAGAGCGTACGTTGGCATTCTCATTCCAGGTCTTGTGAGCAGCACTGAGTATGCGGGGACGAGGGCTATAAGCTTTCGGCACATTGAGAAGCTTTGGTTTGTTTAAGCAGGTTTTGGAGTGTGCTTCTGATGCGTGTCTCATTTTTGTCTCAGTCTTTGTGTGTATATTATGTATTTGTGGTTGTGTGTATGTGTTTGTTTGTGTGTGCGCGCGAGTGTTTGTGTAGTTGTGAGGATGTGATGAGTCTGTCCAATACACCAAACACTCAGATCTTTCCCAAAACAGAACAACGACCCCTGACAGTGGTGTTTTGTTGTTTTCGGGGTTTCCTTGAAGCACAATCCCAAAGTCCCACTTGTTGGATAGCTTTTATGGGAAGCACAGTTTGAAGGTAAGCATGGCCTAAACCAAGGTTTTCTACTTGGAGAAACATCCAACTGTTGTCAAAATGGGCAAGTACTTTCCGCTCGGTGTTTTGCGTTGTGCAACCTAAGTCCATTGCCCTAGTCGCCCACATGAATAATTTTGACCACGGTGGAGTCGACACGAGCCCAAGATATGTTTATCCTTGTAAATAGACGAAAGGTGTACTCACATATATTTGATTTCCATATAGGAAACCAACAGGGGATGGTTCTCTTCAATTTGTCACGACCCCCTATATAGAAAACATGCTTAGCTTTCTTCCCTGAATGTCAGCAAGTTCCACAGCAAAGCCATGGGGCTATTTTAGTATTTGGCGTTTTATTTTGATATAACGCTTTTAACTGAGGCTGCTTTGCGCAGGGCATCGTTTGAAGAGGGGCATGAAATGGCATGAATTGCCATGGTAAAATCAATGTCTTTACTACTTTTGGGTCACAAGGGTATAAAAACAACTAGGGGTGGCAATTCAGAGAACACGGAGGGAACCAGGGGACCCTAAGTAGCTGGTTTTCCCTTGGATTTCCCTATGAGGCACCAACTCCCTCGAACACAATGCGGCTATGACATTCAAAATTGAGAGCACCCTCCAAATCGTTTGAAGTAACACAAATTTTGGGGTAACCAGCCCACCCACGGGTCCCCAATGGAAACTTACACCCATGTTTCTGGCAATCCGGCATGAAGGTTTGCGCGGGACGGCGGGATCCCGTCGGGACACAAAGATGTGCGAATGCCGCGAACGGCCACCTGCCCAAGGACTTGAACGCAAGTTGTCGTTTAACATGAGGAATGAGAGTTTGCGGAGAAACAATTCTGCGTGTTCAGTTGTTGTGTTCATCTCAATTCAATTTGCGTTCATGGCAGCAGTAGATTAGCTGGTGCTGTCGCCAGATTGGACCGGTGCCAATGAGTTCTTGGCACAGCTGGAATCTTGGAGGAATACCTCCCCCACCCACCCATGTTTGGAAGAAACTGCCTTTTGGCTT